TATCTAAAAGGCTAAAAGTTGCTATGCAAAGCTAGCATTATTATCAATCAACGATCATTTAATGTGACCCTGCAAAACAATTATTTGGTGGCTGCAACCTACTTCTTTACTGCAACTGCTAAATTAATTTTTATGTAATAAAATTAGTATATGACACTTTAGTTCAAATTCAAAAGATTTAATTTAATTCAAATTCATTAATTTTTACAACAGATGCAGTGAAGTTAGTGCCCGTGCTACAAAATCAAAATGATTGCATTTCAAATGAATTTTAACCTTTAAATCAAACTTTAACATACTTAGTACTTATTACAACAAAATACTTTCAAAGAAACACTCAAGTATGAACTGAAAATTTTTTCTGCAATTTAATGAAAGCGTATTATAGTTCAAATTTATATTAAACGCAATTAGCTGAACTCTAGAGTGCTTTTCTGACCCACCTCAGTAGGAGTAATAAGAATAAGAATAAGTATAATAATTTTATACTTATATTGTCTCATGCAAGTACTGCCGAATAAACTGAAAAACTGTAAATATATCAAATAACACTACAGTTAAAATGATAATCTATTACTTTGCATGTGCTTATGTTAGTCAAGACCGCAAAGTAAGTGTACTTCTTTCATGCATGACAAAAGATTATTAAAACATTATTTTACAATGTATTTTCAAGAAAAACATTAAATGCAAAGTGCATTTTAAAATAGAAACAACAATTTAAAAAATAACTAGTACGTGATTAAAATAACTGATCTTTAAGTACACTACACAATTAAGCGCACTTTTTTTATCACAGTGGTGTATGGCATAAAAATTTCACATATTTGACTTATTTTCCTTTGCTTAAGTTGTCAGTCATATATATATCAGTAAATATTTTCACAGATGAAAACAGAAAAAGTTTAATTATTAACGTAAATTATTGCTAGGTTTAGCTTGTAAAGGAACAATGTCTGCGGGGATAGTGTTTGTTGATGGGGTTGCGTAATGGCAGTGGGGTAAGGGGTGAGATGTGAGGGCACAAAGAGACGCTGACATTAAAGATCGCTGGGCTGTCTGCTTTGATAACGGCCGACAGTACTCGACGGAATGACCCTGGTGTCACAGCACAGACGACAAGCAGGGCCTTGAGTCATATTAGCCAAAACTCGTCCTGTCAACCTAATGCATTTCCCTCCTTTTGTTTCCTTAAAATAGAAGCACAACATGACATTGAGATCATACTAAAACATAATGCTTCAGTGCACTTGATTTATTAAGAGGATGCTTTTAAGACCGTCTGCCGTTCAATAGACATGTGCCTTGAAGCTAGCTGAGGTTCTGTCGCTGCCTGAACAAATGCTAAAAATTACTCTACGCTTCGTCCATCCATTTTTCATGAAGTCCATGGCAGAATGACAGTTTGTTCTTTAGAGAGCATGTATAGCAGTCTCCTGTTTCATTGTGCAGGTTTTGTTGGCTAATTGAATTTTATCTAACTGTCTTCCTTTCTTTTTGGACTACATTAGCATAACAGCGCTCGTGGCGAGATCCAGCTTCGCGCTGGATGAAAAGAGGTGTAATCCGTCTCCATGCGTTTTCTTTTTAATGAGCTCCCCCTTTTTTTATGCCAAACTGAAATTCAATTCAAACAGAGCAGAACAGCAAGAAACTGTGTTCACGCTAATTCCAGCTAACACAGGAAACGGACGGATTTCTCCCAAAGGACTCGATTTGTTCAGACAAGAGGTCAGATAGGACATCGGTATTAACAGTAGCCATTTCCAACGCATTCATATTAGCTATGTTCTGAATGGAATACCAGTTAGTGCTTAGTGAAAAATATTAAATATAAATGTATAGAAAAAAAGAACGTTTCATTAAACGTATTATTGTTTTGATGCTTGGAAACCCCTTGAAAACACATACTTGAAAATAAATATAAACATGATGTTATAGAAATGGCGCTGTCTCTTTAAGACTACCATGCCAGTAGTAATTGGCCTATTCCAAACTCGGCCTCCCTTGGGCTCTTGGCAGGAGCTTGTAGGGCAGAGGACCTACAGCCCATGTGGGTTATAATAGGACATTGTGGATTCGTGTATCCCCAGAGGCCCCTGGCAGACTGGACAGCCTTAATAGAGTTCACTTTTCTCTCCATCCAACCCTCACTCACACCTGACAAAGATAAATATTGCATGCTATGGTACCTTAAGATCTATTTAATGTACAGTTATTTAAATACAAAATATGTAAAGAAAGTACACTAAATTACTAAACGTATGAGGGGGAAAATCTTAATGTTACACCATACACTGATATTTAAAAAAACTGTGAAGGTCCGAATTTGCTGCAGCATTTTGGGGGACAGTACTCCAGTGTGCAAATCAAGGTCTACGTGGTAGCAGTTGAGGAAGAACTGAGAAATGCATTTCTAAAAGTTCAAAAGTAAATCTCCCATTACGCTTGAGAGAAATCAATACATAAATGCACGGCTACATAAAATAGCAGCATCTGTGAGAGAAAGGCTTCACCATGCAGACAATTATTGTTGCTCATCAGGAGCCAAGAGATAAAATGAATTTCAATCTTCTAGAATGGTTTGCCACTGCGTGTCACTGTCTCATGAGCACTTCTCATTTGATAATTACTCCTATAACAGACAGATGCTTATAATCAACAAACTCCTTTCCACATGATTTAAAACAAACAGCGGCCTCAGATGCTATTAATCTATTAATTTTATAATAATCGATTAAAACCTTGAGAGACCCCCAAAAAACTTTTTACAAATAAAATTAGTATTTTGGTAATTAATTATATAATTGTTATATTTAATTATTATAAAAAGTATTAATTCATCAATATCATCTCTAATATTACATTTTTGGAGAGTTGCACAGCATGGCATTTTACAACTTGAACTAAACGTTTCTTGTCATAAAATGTTATATTTAAAATAAAAAAAATTGCTGTCTTAAGTTTATTTTCTTTATATTTATATATGTTGGTTGCACCATATGACTTCATTATTTTACTCTTCATTATAATATTAGACCATTGTACCACACAGACTAAAAAATATCAAAATAAATGTTTTAAATATGATTAACATGCAATAGATTTATTCAAGTCACTGTATGTATGAATTACAATTTAATGTATTTTTGAATAGATCCAGACAAAATAATGAGCATCACATCATTGACCCTTGGGCCAATAAGCAGCCACTCAGAACAACCTAACAATACCCTAGAAACCACCAAACAATCCTAGCCAACCATATACCAATGTGCTAAAAACACTTAGTACACCTTAGCAACCGCATAGCAATATTCTAGCAACCAGCCACAACACCCTCGCATTGTGGCAATGAGCATGTGCTCAAATTTTCTTCCAAAAAAAAAGGACTAAGATATTTACAAATCATCAACCGTGTGCTCTGCATGTTCTTTAGCTCAAGCTACACCAGAAAATGGAACTTGTCAAAGTGAAGAAAGACTCAACTAGATGTAATTAACGTTTCACCTGCATGGCCCAGACATTTCGCTACACAAATATCAGGTTGTCCGTCACAATAAGAAGCCTAAATGTAACATTGCGACACACAACATGAATCTAAAAAATATCTACAGATGTATGAGAGGTGCCTCTAGTTGCTGTTGTACATCTTTCATTATTTATTCATTATCGTATTGACTGAAAGGTATCCTGGGAGGGAAGACTGGAGACATTGCATTAAAGAACACCCCTTCCCCCCTCCATTGCCCCTTTATAAATATGTGTAGGTGGCAAAGAGTGGGCCTAAAGACAACAAGATGGATCTACCTTAATGTCATGGCCAGCAAGTGTTTCGGAATTCATTACCCAGGGGATACAAGCCATCATAAGACGAAGCCTTGGCCAAATATCGACCTGTGCAGAGAGGTTACAAATTACAGCATAACTACTGAACAAACCCAGAGAGACACTGGCTTCCGCTGGTTTTCCTCATTTAGACGATAGACTGGAGAATTTGACGATGACAGATATTAACGGAAATACCATTTTGCTACACGCTGCAAATTGAGCTCGGTCCCTGAATTGTTACAGCTATGCATTTAAAGCAATCACATAAATGATTTGCCTGAAAGAAGCTACAGGACCGGTTGCAGCTTTCTAAAGTACAATTGTGGCTGTAAAACCTGAGTCCATGGTGCTGGTGCCTGTGGGATTAATTAGTAAATAAGAAACAGCCCTATTCCTGTCTCTGAACTCCAGTGTTACCGGCACCCCTTAACTCATCTTTGAACAGAGTCGAGGATCCTTGTACACAACATCTCCACCATGTTAGCCTGGTCAGTCAAAACATCTCCAATGACCGCGGTTGTATATTGAGAAGCGAGCTGATCGTTCGGGGGCTAAGGGGTTTCTTGCTATGCAACCAGCACTGGTTATTTTTAGAAGCACTCTCTACACCTGCAGTGATGGTTTGCCATACTAACCAACAGCATTCGTGGTATTAAATACAAAAACATAAACAATAAGACTATGAAAAACTATTATTGTTACTGTAACGTGGAAATTCTGTTTATAATAAATTGCTTTGACGCACTCATCTCTAACCGATAACAACATACTTCCACACTGAAATGCACACTGAAACATGCATTTTTTTTGTATTGCAAACAATGTTATACAAATAAACCTGAATTAATTCTACAGTAATTATTCAATTTTCACACAAAAAAACGAATTCCTACTAAACAGAACATAATCATCATCATAATAATAACATATTCTGTGTGGATAATCTGCACTGTAAAAATGTATTTTTTCAAAGTTGTAAATTAAGCTTCTTAGATTGTTTTACAAGAAAATTCTACTTTAAAATGCCACATTTAATTCAGTGTTTTACTTGCTGTTTATTTATAATTGTTTGTGAAATTTGGCAAGAAAAATAGTTTCTATGGCATACATTTTGCCATAGAATGTGCATTATGAACAACTGAACAATCCATCCATGTTACCAAAGTTACCTGAAGTCTGGATTCCGGTTGGGTTTAAGGCCATAGAAGCCAGCAGACAGTGTCACGAGCCATCTGGGAATGAAATTCCCATTTTTACACTCCAAATACGGAGCTGACCAGTGAATTTGAGTTTTGTCGGTAATATAACTTTCTCCACTGCGCACAGACGCGTCAAAAGAGGCAAAATCTTGACTCAGCACTCGTTTCTGGAGATGGGTCTTCTTTTTATTTTTATGCTCATGGTACCACTCGGTATCAGCCGTTCTGTTCTTCAGTATATGGTGGGCAGTGTTGGATAAATCCTGGAGAATTATCTCTCCACCTGCTCGTGTGGCCTGAAGGTAAACAGGTGGCCCTTCAGGAGGGGACTCGGTGCTCAAGGTGATCACTGCTCGATGGATCTTGATGTCGCCCTCCAGGATACTCCTGACCAGAGCGTGGTACCACTCCATATCGCGTCTGGGGCTGTGATCTCTGGACCTGTTCGTTTGTAGGATCATGTTGAGGAAGTTTGTGGCGTGAAGGACCGTGTCCAGAACGCTGCGCATGGAGTGATGCGCGTCTCCGCGCGTCCTTCCCCGCAACACCGCCAGCTCATATCTCTTGGAGCAGTTGCCGTGTTTTAAGGTGGAGGAATCCCCCGTGTGCAGAAACGCACTCACCACTCGGGGTACCTGTTCCTCGATCTTCTGCGCTAAACCCGAATGTGGCTTCCGGAGGTGCGCTTGCTGGTTGCTGTGCGTATTATAAATGGGCAGCTTTGCTTTTAGGTCCCGATCATGTTCCACATATCTATAATTTGATCCTATAACAAATCCCACTTGCAAGAGTAACGATATCCGGATTATGGCCATATCCTTCAATCCCGCTCTTTTACCTTACCAGCTTCAGTTCACCAAATCTGATGCGAGAAATCGCAGCTGGAATGAATCAAATCAGCACAGCATTTTCACCTGTGGATTTTCACGCATTACGGACTCCTGATTCCTGGCCAGAAGACAGTTATTGCATCGGTAATCCCTTTCCTCTCATGTGCATTGGTGTTGTTTGTGTAAGTGATGCTGGCTCGGTCTTGTACCTCCTCGCAGGAGCGCAGCAGATGTGCAGGATCCCCGACGCTCTCCTCCCAATATGATGCTGGACCACAACAGACGTGATCGAAGGAGAGAGAGAGAGAGAGAAACAAAAAAATGCTATTTTTCGGAGGTAGGGAGTTAGTACTTCACACTTGGATGACAAACACACTCCGCCCTCTTTCGTCAACTCCAGTCTTAAAGCATGAGAACGGCTGAAACCATTTGCTATAACCAGGGGCGTAAATTTCCTCTAACAATTGGGGGGGACAATAAACATAAAATTTCTCAAGAGCAATTTTTGAAGGGGACACAAATAATACAGCTTAAATTGTACTTGTAAGGACAAGTACTACTATTAGTGCAGCGGTCTCCGTTGTAGACATTACCATCATCAGTCAAGCAGTAACGTTATTATTGCTAACATAGCGGATTCATCGAAAAATACATTGGCATCATCTGTATTAGATAGAAATTAATCACTTCATCCGATGTTTAAGTGAATAAAATAGCCTTGACAGTCGAGTTCCACAACTATTGACTTTGCTCACCAGACTCACTAGCAGTTTTCGGGGTAACGCAAGTTACGTAATCAGATTACTTTTTTCAAGTAACTAGTAAAGTAACGCATTACTTTTTAATTTACAAGAGAATGTCTGAGTTACTTTTTCAAATAAGTAACGCAAGTTACTTTTTTCCAATTTATTGATTGACAGCTCTGGTGTCGCCATGGTGACAGAAATCAGAAGATGTTACTGTAGTTCTAAAATAAATATGAATATGCATTAATTCATCTCACTCACAAAAAACACAGATTCAGTATTCCTCAAAATGAATAAAAATAATGCAACTCAGAATATGACGCAAACCTGCAATAATTAAATGTTAAACAACACAAATATCCTTTATGTATTTAATCCCATTCTATTAATCAATGTCTTTGCTTCTGAGCTTCGATGATCCAGTTCAACCGTATTAATAAGCAAAAATTACTCTAGACAAACATTTGTGTCTTTTTTTATTGCTGAAGTGTGTTGAAATGTCTTCTTCTGCATTTTCCTGTATGGACGTAAATTTACTTTCCCTTCAGCCTGAGGCTGATTCATTTCACTTCTGATGTGAAAAGGCTTTTATATTTGCCAAAAATATAACTTTTTTATTTTAAAAACAAACAAGCAAGCCCTGTCCAGATTTTAAAAGTAACGCAAAAGTAACGTAACGCATTACTTTCCATAAAAAGTAACTAAGTAACGTAATTAGTTACTTTTTTATGGAGTAACGCAATATTGTAACGCATTACTTTTAAAAGTAACTTTCCCCAACACTGATCACTAGACCAAAACTAGCCCACTCACATTTCGAGGGGGGTTAAAATTGCATTCCTGGGGGTAAAATACATGTTTTTCGGCGGGGTTCCTGCAGTAAAATTCGCATTCATATCACGTTATTGGGGTGCTTCAGCAACATAGCCCAGTTCCGCGGGAAAACCATGGACTCGGCAACCAGTGTTGCCAACTAATTTTCAGGGGAGGTTGCTAAAGGAAGGTTGATTTGTTGCTAAAAGTTGCTAAATGATGCTGTGATGACATTGCGTGATGACGTCATTAAGTAATCACATGCAAAATTGTGTCAAATCTCAGCAAAAACATATATTTTATATATGTTAATTTAGATTTGTTCATAGCAATATAAATGCATAATATAATATTAAAATATAAATAACTATTTTTAAATTCATTGAATTATCGAAAACTTACACATTTTTGAACGATTACAATTTAAGTTTTATACTTTAAAGCAGTTTATTAGTAGTTAGTTAGTATGCTGCACTCTAAGAAAAGTCAAAAATAATGCACAATCTACTGTGAGGCTTGTTGCTAGGTGCTTTTGGAAGAAAAAGTTGCTAGGGTAGGCTGAAAAGTTGATAAATTTAGCAACAAAATTGTTGCCGTCAACTGAGGTGATGTAAAAGAGGAAAGCAGGCATTTGGACCAAAGCACTGTGAGGCAAGGGAAGGGGAGACTCAAAATGTTTCCAAACTTAAAACGCATTTTTGCCCGGTTTGCGTTGTTTTACTACCTACAAAGTTATTTAAAGTATAAAACATTGTTATTTACAATACACACCTTTTCCCTCAAACAGGTAACGTTATTATTGCTAACATAGCAGACTCATCGAAAAATACATTGGTATCATCTGTATTAAAGAGAAAATAATCACTTCATCTGATGTTTAAGTGAATAAAATAGCCTTGACAGCCTTGGAGTTCCACAACTATTGGCTTTGTTCTCTCTCACCGGACTTGTGTGTGTGTGTGTGTGTGTAATGTTAGGTGATGTAAAAGAGGAAAGTAGGCATTTGGACCAAAGCACTGTGAGGCAAGGGAGGGGGAGACTCAAAATGTTTCCAAACTTAAAACGCATTTTTGCCCGGTTTGCGTTGTTTTACTACCTACAAAGTTATTTAAAGTATAAAACATTGTTCATTGAGATACACAGCCATGTTTTTAATCATATTTTTAGGGGGTACAACCCTCAGATGGGGGGTCCTGTCCCCCCCCTACCCCCCCCGGGATTTCCGCCTATGGCTATAACATCTAGTGGTGTCCGATTCGCGTAGGAATCGTTCATTGAGTCGGTTCTTTCAACGAACCATTTCGCAAAACAGACTCGTTCGGTCAGAGCGCTTATCCACTTCTCGGATGCGAATCGGCTACACTGAACTGAACCGTTCGAAGGAACCGATTCGGGCAAATCAGTCGGACTTCCCAACACTACTAACATCCCGTCTTCTTCATCACCTTATACGGTTTAGGAAAGTGCCCTTGATTGGTGTGTGGCCATTTCTGCTGTCAGTCATTTGACGGAGGGCGTGTTTGTAAAACTGAAGGCGCTATCCAGTGCTGAAAGGAGAAAAACATACATCGAAAAAAACGACGATAAATCACATTAATGTTTCGGGTTTCGGTAAAAAAAAAAAATAGACGCTCGATGGGCAGGAGTACATTTATAACAGCTCTGCTATAAACGTCAACAGGGCGACGCTGTTTAAAAGACACGATAAACGCGCCGTTTATTAATTTATTACAATTAATGCGCTAGTATTGAGAAGTAACAATAAAAACGAATTGCCGTGGTTGTTTATCATAATAAACAGATCGCGTTCTTGTTTTCCGTCTGCGTTGTTTTTTAATTGTTGGTCTATGACATAAATATGACGGATGTTTTTCGCCGTTGTCTCGCTATTATTTCTAAGCTCGTCTCGTTAAGACGCCCTCAGCTGTTCAAAACGTGTTTTAAAACCCCAACGTAACGTAACTTCGGCTCCGCTGCGCACCGTTGCGCTGTTTTAATAGTTAGTTGACATGTATAAGACGGGCTTTGGTAGCGTTGCGTCGCGTCGTGTCCCCCGTTCCGTTTTTTTTTTCAGACGCCAGCCGAGTTAAAATAGTGCTCGAAAAACCGTGATTTCCCATCCCGTTGCGTTCCGTCTATTTGGTATTGACACAGACACGAACGCGTTCTCGCTTCTGAGTCGCGGTCTCGCTTACAGCGCCGCGTTTTAAGACGCCGTCGCAAGTTTTAAGCAGTTTCAAAACGTGTCTCCGCCACGCTGTTTGAACGCAAGAATGCGTCCTGTGCGAACGGTCCCTTGCGCTGATTTAAATACAAATACAAGTCAATGCTGTGATACTAATCAAGCATTAATTCTTGAATTAAACATACAAGCTGTTTGCTTCGAGGAGACATGCTTGTCGCTCACGGGGGAAATACTGCAGTGAAGCGCACAGGATGAACGCATGCGACTGCGTGAGGATGTGAATCATGGTGCAATATGAGTCATCATCACCGCACTAGCGCTTAATCCAGATCTGTAAACAATGAGATGTTCAGAGCGGAATCTAAACGCGTGCGTCAGGGGCGCAAATGACTCAAGCGTCCAAAGGAACTGAAATGGCACGTAAGAACAAACAATCGGTGATGCCATCACTGTCTTCAGAGGTACACGGCTCGAGCTTACCAAAGCTCCTCATAGCTCCGCATCGTCTCTGAACCATATGTTCATAAATGGAATTATTTGCACATTATCAGATCATTTGGTGTTGTTATAATATACTGATTATGTATCCAATCATAACTTAGCTCCTGATATGAATTATGTAAAAAGGGAAACAGGGGCTTGTTGTCACATGGGAAAGTCTCACAAGGGATATATAGATATATTATAGTTAATTGGAAGGTTCTGAGTCAAAAGTCTGAATACACATGCTTGTATTCAAATCAAGCGTTTTGTGTTTCATAATTATAGATAAAAAGCCAAATAGAGAGGTAAAATATAGAGGAAAGCATTTTTGTTAGTATTTCAAATGACAACTGCTGCAAAAATGAAGAAGCATGTTTCTACAATGTGTGCAAATGAACTTACTGTAAATGTCTTTAATTTGAGCAAACTTTGTAGGTAATTTATTATATTGCTTTCATTTATTAAAAAAAAAACTGTTCATTGAAAAATATAATTTCTTGCATGATGGAATTTGCTCAGTTACATTTCCCCTAGCTGCTCGTCTGTGGCCAGGGGAATGCTAAACTAGCTGCTGGTTGTTTTTGCTAAGAAATTATTTTTGTACATGAATATAAACAGTGCCTATACACTCTGTAAAAAATATGGCCCATTGTACCATGTTAATATGAAGACATTTTCTGTATTGATTTTTCACAGGGACTCTTATTTTGAATTAAGCATTGCAATTTACATGTATGTATTTGACAGATGCTTTTTTTTTCAAAGCTACTTAAATTTCATTGAGGGAACACATTTTAAGTTCTTGCTTTCCCTGGGAGTCGAACCCATGGCCAATGCTAAGCAACATGCTTTACTGTTTGAGCTACAGAAATGTTTTTAGGATTGAAGGAAATTTTCATTAACCTGACAGGTCTGGAAAAGGTCAGGATATTTTTTTCTTGGATATTTCTGATCTTTATTTTATAATTCATGGTTTTTAGCAGTGCCTTCATTGACATGCTCTTTCGACACTTTCAATTTAGAGATTTTCAAAAAGGTTGAGTTTTTAAAGGATCTTGTGTCCATAAATTTGGGCTAAATCTGTTGAGGTTCATTAAACTAAACTGTCTTTTGGCGTCCTTGGTGCAGTTAA